AATAGCTAGCATTTAATGATATGACCTTTAGTAATAATAGCTAGCTGTGTAGAAATAGACTCATAAGTGCAGAGAACAAACTGATGGTTGTCAGATGGGTGGGAGCTTGGGGGGCCGACTGGGAAAGGTGAAGGGATTAAGAAGCACAAATTGGCAATTACAAAATAGTTACGGGATGCATATATAGTACAGCACAGGGAATATAGTCAATAATATTGTAATAATTATGTATGGGGACAGATGGCTATTTGAAATATCAGGGATCACTTTATAAATTGTATAATTGTCTAACCACTGTGCTGTATGCTTGAAACTACTATGAAATAATATGGAATGTCAACTGTTAATAGAAAGGTAATTGCTAGCTTTGTGCCTGGCACTGTGCTGAATGTGTTTTAGTCATCACTACTTTTTTCCTTTCTTTTCTTTATATTCCCCCAGGTTCTGGGGTGAATCTTGGGCTCCAGGGCCTGGAGTCTTGGGAAGAATTTATTTGCCAGATCGTGACAGCTGTGGATCAGAGTGACATCATGGAAACTTTGTCTGTCAAAGTAAAGACACTCTGAATGAGTGGTGGAAGACTGGACTCCTCACCACAATTTTCAAGTGTCTGGGGGAGACGGGACTGGCCCGTGGAGGGGGATTCTTCTCCCTGTAGGGGAGAAAGCAGCCTGGAATGAAGTCAGGCTGAAAAAAGAATTCTGTGAATGTTGGCAAGTTAGCAATTATACACTTAAGCTACACTGAAGCTTGAGGCCTTTAAATGCGAATTAGGCAAATGAAATTTCCAAACTTCAGTGTCTGATTTCCAGAAGTCACTGCAATGGATGTGCTGAGTTCACCAGGTGAGAGTGCTTCCTTGTGGCCCACGAGAAAGTGAGCATTGCTATTCAGGCCCGGGCGGGGAATTCTGTAAGACAAAATCACTCTTCCCAACGCTTCAGGGAATCTGCTTCCCTCTCCTTAAAGCAAATGCAGCAGAGGGTTAACAATGACTACATCTGGGTGTGCGTAGGGAGTGGGGTAATGGGGCGTGAGTATTCATTGTACTGTTCTCTCACATTTTCTGGGTGATTGATAAAACATGTTGGAAAAAAGGGAGAAATAGATCATCAGAAAATAAATAAAAGTAGAACAGGCATAATCTCATGAAAAATAAAAGAGCATTTTAGGTGGAATCTGTTTAGCTTTATGTAAAATTCACTTCTTTGACCTCCTTTTTCTCCCTTTCCCATGGAGGAGTGAGGACCCCTGCACACCCGTTGGAGCACTGGCATGAAGGCCTCCCTCTCTGGAAAGGCAGCACCCCGGGCAGCTGGTGGAGAGGATGAGTTTGGTGCAGTACCCTTGTTTGGATTCTAATCTCAGCTGTCACTGGGTTTTCCTTGCCAAGTGACCTTGGGCAAATTACTTAAATTCCTTGTGTCCCAGTTCTGCCATCTGTAAAAACTGGGTTGATAATCATGAAATAAGTAAAGTTAATGACTGGGCCACTGTCACACACATTACCTGAGTTTGGTTCCAACAATAAATTACAGGAAACTCTCCCACTGAAACTCTCCCTGTCTCTTCATACCTGTATGTCTGGGTCCCAGACTTCTCTTAGAAGCCTCAATCCATACATCTGTGTTTGTCTGATCTTAATTGACTGACCTCTAGGTAGAGGGGTATTTTGTTTTTCTTGGTGTTTCTCAGAGACATAGCATAATTTTTTTCGCTTACTGTGTGTTTGTGTGAATAACTGAAATACAAACACAGCTTCCTGTGTAGGTCCCATTGACCAGGAGAGAGTTTTCCCTAAGAATGCTGTTCAGTATTCTTCCTTATTGTTACCTCCCATCAGAAGTTTATCGGAAGAGTTAGGAAGCGTCCCTGGTTTCCTTAGCATATTAAGTTTGGCACCAAACCACAAGGCTTAATTTCCCAAGGAACAGTGACCTAAGTTGAAGTAGGTTTTGCAGAATTGTTGCGGTGTTTGTGTGTATGAAGGGGAGGGAAATGACCATCGCCGTGGTGATGATAATGAACTAAAGAAACGTGGCTCCAGGACTGTGACATTGCAACTTGAGCCCATTCCCAGAATGAGGCCAAACTGCTTTCAGCAAAACCCAATCAATCTTATGTTCATCAGTCATCAGTTATTGCAGAAATGATCAATCAAAAAGAAAAGGCATTTTAAATGTAGAAATATTTGTCAAGAAATAGGTTTTAGTCTTTCTTTCTTTATTTTTTATTGCTTATGCTACTACAGTTGTCCCCACTTTTTTCCCCTTTCCCCGCCTCCACCCAGCCCCTGTTGTATTCCAAGGTTTTTAGTCTTTTAAAAACATGGACCGACAGGGCCATCTAGTGTGCACTTGTATAACCACAGTGATTTTTTTCCTTTAACCTCCTCACCACTAGCCAATGTGATTCAGCTGGCTTTACAAAAACAAATCATTCTTTAGTCTTCTTTAGAGGTACATGTTGAAGACCTTGGCTCATTCCCAAACTTGAGGTTTCTCAAACCCATAGTAATCTTACAAGCTAAACAGGGTTTGCTGTCTAATAGATCCTTACAAGATCAAAGTCAAAGCCACGTGCAAGTTAAAGTCCAAGGCGCGCAGAAACTATAATTAGAAGTAAGATAGTGGCTTCTGTGTAAGTAAATGGAAGAAGCCAGTAAAAAGAGAGCAGAAAAATGTAGCCCATGAGCAGGGAGAAGGGGAGCAAGAGACCATGAAGCCCACGAGGGGAAAAGCCAACAGCCTGGCCTTGGGCTCCCTCGGGCCCTGATAACATTCTCATTTAGTTCATGTGCACCCTGATTAACACTTTTGAGTGAGGCTCTGTTGCTTGCAGTCAAGCAGGACTAAAACAGTATCTCTTTGTGAGGCACAAATCCTAAAATCTGGCATACCCTCTCTCTCATGAGTCCCCAAATACCCGCATGTCTTATTTCTTTAACTTTCTGAAAGAGGCTCCAGACAGAGTATAGGAAGGCAGGAATCAAATGAGGTCAGTTATAACCATTTGGGACCACTGTCAGTGTCTGGGCCACCCAGCCAGACTTCTGTCAGTTCACGTCTCTCATCTGTGGCCGCACTAGGACTTAGAGAGGCAGGTGCTCTCAGACAATACTAGAGAGCTTGGCAGTCAGGACCAGCAGTATCTGGGTACCACCTTGTGAATCTCTGGCCAAAAATGGGCCTTAAGTAAATGTCAGTGTTTGATTCACAAGTTAGTAATTTTCTTACTGTCCGTGTAGACAGTGGTCCCTAACTAGGAGAACAATTGTCAGTCTGGAGACATTTTTGGTTGTTACAGCTATGGGAAGGGAGACACACTGGCAGCTAGTGGGTAGATGCCAGAGGTACTGTGAAATGTCCTACGACGCACCGGAAAGTGCCCTAGAACAAAGAGTTACCTGGTCCCAAATGTCACTGCTGCTGAGGTTGAGGAATCAACTGTTTTAGTCCTGCTTTTTTGACTGCAAGCAACAGAGACTCATTCAAAAGTTTTGATCAGGGTGCACATGAACTAAACTAGAATGTTATCAGGATCCAAAGGAGCCCAAGGCCAGGCTTTTTTTTTCTCCTGGTGTCCGTGGCAGGAGAAGCATAGAGGGAATATTGTTAAAGCTGTGGGAAGAGCAGAGGGTTGGCACAAAGGCTGAGAATTCTACTAAGGGGACTGCTACCCAGTTTGGGGAAGATGCTGTACTATGACTACTTTTGTGCCAAGTCACAGGCAACAACTGCCAGTAGAGGCTCTGGGGAGGGCAACCCAAGATGGAAATCTAAGCAGAAAGTCCCTGAGAAACTGAGCAGAGGCAGAGATAATGATTAGGAAAACTGAGGCTGATTATTTTTACTTCATTCACCAACTCCCTTAGCATTAGGGGACTTTATGTCCTCATTTCCTGTTCATATCTACCAAAGGAATTAATTGACTTGGGTGACAGGAGTGAGGGGTTAAACTGAGGTGAAGAGAAGAGCAGGAGAAGAGTAGCTTATTTAAATGCACATGGATTTGGAAAGAGTGATTTTCCATAGGTCTGAGAGGGGATGGCTGACCTATTAAAATGAAAACATACTTTCATTTTAATAGGTCAGCCATAGGTCAAAACAAACTAAGTTAGCTTATGGTTTTTCAAAGTAAAGTGAGTCTCTCCCCTAAAGAGCACGCAGAGCAAGAATCGCAAATAATATCAGTTTCAGGACTTGGGGAAAACAAAAAGCAACACTGCCTCTTGCTCCCCACCTTTAAAATATGTACTTCTTTTGAAGGAGGCTTGCATTCTTCTGAGACCTAGCACAGGGAAATCAGTCAGTAGATTTCTCTGTAATGCGGAGCTGTGGAGCAAGTTCCAAGGAAGAAAAGAGTAAGATACGCTTCTGGTTTTTGACACAGGATATTATAGGGTACTTGTAGGTACTTCAAGAGGACTTCACAGCATCCACTCTGTAAATGTGGAATTTTGTTTCAAACTAGGTTGATTTGTAGAGGGCCAAACCTAATGAATCACATTCATCTATTCATTGTTCATTCACTTCATTTAATAACTTGTTGGTTTAGGCAGTACTAGTGAGAGAAAGAAGCATAAAATATGCTCTGCCAGTTTAGTCAGGCATATGCAGGTAAATAAATAATTAAGTGTTAGCCCTTTGTTATCAACAGACCCAAGATGTGGCTGTAAGTGACTTCTGCCAAGACTGGTTACTCAGGTGAGTGAATTTGAATTTTTAACCATCTCCAAATGTTCTAACATTTGTTTCATGCTCAAAAAAGTTTGTGAATCAGCCTGGGTGATGGAGGGCTCTAGAAGCTTTCCGAGCAGGAAATGTTCACTCTTTATAATGTCCTGAAGGAAGAGCAGGTTAGAGCCCAGCATATCAGAACCCACACAGCCTTCTTGCTCGGCTAGTCTGGCGGGGCCTGGACTACGTTTCCCAAGATGCCCATTTGCAAAAGGTCCTTCAGGATTGGTCAGAATAATGTTGACGTGTTACGGGTCGCCCAGCAACGGGGGCGGTCCTGGGCTGCACCTGGATGTTAACCTTCCCTCTCTGCAGCCAGGAGGATAATGAAGATCAGAGCCACCTTCACGGTCATAAAACGTCACCAGATCTTACTTCCAGCCAAGCGGCAGTGCCATCTCCTCGGCTCTTTCACCGCCGTTCTCAGGCCCCGCCCCTTTTACGCTAGCAGCGAAACTGCGGAAACTGGATTACAGCTACCGAGTCGATTGAGTTGCTCTGGGAGACGTAGTACGCAGGCGCGAGCGGTTTCGGGCTGGGAGCGCGCGGTGCTCTGTGGAAGCGGGAGTGAGTGCCGGGGCGCGAGACCCGGCAGCGGGCGGTTAACTGAGGTAGCGACCCAGCGCCTCTTCTTCTGGCATGGCAGCGCTGCGCTATGCGGGCCTGGACGACACGGACAGCGAGGACGAGCTGCCCCTGGGCTGGGAGCAGAGAACCACCAAGGACGGCTGGGTTTACTATGCCAAGTAAGAGGGCCGCAGGGGGACCGCCGGGCCTGGGACACACCTGGAGTGGGACGCACCTGGAACTGACGGCCTCTCGTGCCCGGGACACTGCACTGCTCTCGAACGCCACCTGCGCGGGGCGGGGCGCGGCGCGGGCCCGTGTTCCAGCTTGGAGAGGGCGGGTGAAGTGGCAGTGATGTTAAAGAGCTTCCTGGGTCCCGAGGAGGGACCGGTCTCCTCACTGGGCCTGTGTCCAGCCTTGGTCACCTGGCAGCGGTCAGGCACGCCCTCTACTGCTCAGAAGGCAGCGCTGCACAGTGCAATGATGGCACACCAACCTTATCCCTTCCTCCTCCAAAGAAGAGGAAAAAAAAAATGCAGATACCCAGCCACCTTTTAGGGGTTCTGGGGAGGGGACCTAGGAGTTTGTATTTTCATTAGATGTCCTAATATAGCTATGTATATTTGTATGCATATGTGTGTGTACATATTCTATAGCTATTCATTATAGTTTCTGGGAAAGTTTTAGAAACACTAGCAGACCCTTTCTTCCTACACTTACTGTGTGACCTAGTGCCATTGAAAGGACTCTGAGCCCCAGTTTTCTAATCTGTCAAATAGGTTTATATGAGCGTTTTAGTTCAGCAGTGTACATAAAGCACTTAGCTCAGGTTGATAGGTACTCTAGGCTTAATAAACGGTGCTTCCTGCTGTCTCTGCACTTCCTTAGGCCTGATATCAGAATCACCCAGGGACTTTTGAAAGCACAGGTTTCAGGCTTTCACAGACGCCACATAGCAGTCACCTAATGTGGGAAATCTGCATTTGTTAAGCTTTCCAGTTGATTCAGGTTATAACTTGGCTTTGAGAAACATGGATGTAAAGCAGTGATTTTGCAACATTTAATAAACCTAAGAAGTATCTTTTCCTTGGTTCCAGATATTCTTATTTAACTGGTTTGCCCCTCCTCCCCATTGGTTTGTTGCAAACTCTTCCCAGGTAATTCCAGTCTACCCAAGGCTGTGAACCACCGCTGTCTTTGGTGGCTTGGTAGAAAGAGCAACAGCAAAATAAGACCTTGCTGAGTTCATTCATTCAGGACACTGGGATCTTTCTCATGTGCCAGGCTCTTTGCTGGGCCCTGGTTATACTGAGATAAAGGAGATCCAGTTGTCACCCTTAATGAGTGCCCAGTCTCTCAGGGCAGAGTGACCCAGTGAGGGAGTCCTGGTGCAGTGCATGTAGTGAGCAGCAGTCTGTCCAGCAACTCTACTGGGTCACTTCACAGCTCAGGCGAGGTGATCAGGTAGAGTTGGCACCTGAGCTGTGCCTTAGGGCACCAGAAGTGGGCAGGTGGGGGCAGGAGGGCAGTCCAGGTAGAGGAATCAAAACAGAGGCTCCTCATGGCCTCTCTGGTGATGCAGGAACTTGAAGATCCAGGTGGAGGAGGGATGACCTAGCTTATGGAGGCCCTTCTGTGTCTCGTGGAGGAGCTGGGACTCTGCCGTCCAGGACCCAGGGCCACTGAAGGACTGGAGCCTGGGAGTGATGTCGGGTTTGTGTCTTTAGAAAGATGATTTCTGCTCTGGAGAGCTGAGGGAACAATTCTAGCAGCAAGGGGTCATTAATTAGACTGTTGCAGGGCTCCAGGCAGCTCCCGGATGGGCACTTGGTGTCCCTCTGCCTTTTCCTGAAGGGCCCTTTCATCCTTCAGAGCTGGGCTTAAATGCACTGCCCATGAGACCTTCCCTTTTTATCCCACCCCTGCACCCCTCCCTGCACCTTGTCATCTGTGTGCTGGTACTTAGTGTTGTCTATGGTTATCTAATCTTATTCCTACTGGTCCCTCATTGCTCTGTCTCCCTGCCTAGACTATAAATTTCTTGAGGACAGGGGTTTTTCTTGTTCACCTCTGCATCCCCAGTGCGCGGAAGGAGTGAATCAATTCATCTAGTGAAGGTTCACCATGGGCTTCTGCGGGGAGGCGGTGTCCTGGGAATGAAAGAGGCACACAGCCCCCTTCCTGCTTCTGGGGCCCTTCCTCTGCTCCTCTGTGTGGGGCCTGTCCTTGTGGTGGCCACTTACTGCAGGGGCTTCCTGGCCTCCCCTCAGGTTTGCCTGAGGCCTGGTGGTGGGTCTGCAGGCTCCCTAGCATGTGTTCACCCCTGTCTTGCCCCCTGCCTTTTCCCCTGCACCTTTTCCTGTGTTGGGCGGCCTGCCCCACTGCTTCCTTCCTACATGTCATCCAGAGTCTGGACTTGGGGCTTTTCTTGCACGAAGTAACATCTGCACATGCCAGCCAGTTACTCTGAGAGCTTTCAGGGAGTCCATGGCCAGGGGACTCAATGACACATACACGTTCTCTGAAAAGGCACCCTCCAGCCTCCACCATTGTCATAGGTCTTCATCTGGCCTGTCTGCCCCCTGTGTTTACACTGACTGTGGTGACAGGGCTTGGCTGGTTTCTAGCTGAGAGGTTCCTACCTCTAGTCCTCTGTTCTTTGGCTCTCAGGGCTGAAGGATGCCCCTGACCAATCCTAATCCTGGATTCCCATTAGTCCCCTTGATCTCTTCTGACCTGCAAGCATTCTGGCCCTTCTTTCCACCTCCAACTCTGGATGTGTCACTTGTCTTTCTCTTGGGGTTTGGGAACCTTCACAAATGGGCTGTCAGAAGACAGCCCTTTGAGTAGTTCCTGTTTCCAGATTGTCTTCCTCCCATCACAGCAGGGCTGTGCCCAAGGACAGGGGCCACGGCTTTAGGGGAGCCTGGGCTCTGGTGGAGCCCCCTTTAGCCTTGTCCTCTTCTCTTGTGTGAGCTCTGTGGGCTCCTGTGCTCCCCACCTGCCCCACGGTGCACCCACAGGCCTCAAAGCACATATGTCCTATGTCCCAGGACACCAGTCTAGGCTTCCAAGGAGAGGATGCTTCTCTGCCATTGAGGGCAGACCTGTCACCAGGGAGAGCTGATGGGCCTTTCTCCCGTACTGCTGCCCGAACCAGGAGAGGGGGACAGCAGATGAGATCTTGAGGGCTGTTGCTGTAGTCACCTGGGCCTCCCCGATGGGCCACCCAGTCTCCCTTTTCTTCTGAAGCCCTCCGGGCAGCCAGAGGGCCGACTGGCCTGGCCCTGTGGGGAGACGGGTCCCTTGTCCCAGGGCCAGCTCTCCTCACAGGTGGCTCTGGGTCTCCCAGTTAAAAGAAACTACGCTGACAAAAGTAAAAAAAAACAAAACCCAGCAACTTAGAAAAGCATACTCAAAAATGAAATGCATATAATGTGCTGTGAATTTAATTTTGATCCCTTTGGCTTAAATTAAGATCACTCTTAATTATCTTTTTAAATGACAAAAAGCTTACTGAAAGAAACGGAAAAAATAAAAGAGGGCTTCTACTTAAGGGAGAATAAGATGACACTTTGGGGACATGTGTCGTAATTTTCTGTTCATTAAAAAGTCATTTTAGGTCACTGTTAAAAGGAACACCTTTTAATTAATTTTTATATGTAACTATTAATTTAAAATAATACTTTTGTGAAAGGCATGGTTCTTAGTTCTTCACCTATTAACTCTTTCAGTTCTCTTTAACCCCAAGGAGTGGGTGCTATTATCCTCATTTTTACTGATGGGGAAACTGAGGCACAGGGAGGTTAAACAGCCTTCAAGGGCGTGTGGTTGGTGAGTGGGAGAGCGGGAAAACGTGGGCATCAGGCTCCGGAGTCCACACACCCAAACTACACTCTCTTTGCCTCAGTTAGGGCCGGGGTCCTCCTGCAGGGTCACTGTGCACTGCAGGGGATGGTTGGCAGTGTCCAGAGACACCTTCTGTTGCCCAACTACAGGGGGCGGCATACCGGCCTCTAGTGGGGGGAGACCAGGGAAGCTGCTGATGACCCCGCAATGCACCGGATGGCCCCACTGCGAAGACCCACGTGGCTGGAATGTGAGTGAAGGAGACCCTGGCTTAGGCGTTTCCAGTCCCAGTGAAGGATGTGGCACGACAGTGTTTTTTAATATTTTATTTTTATTTTTAAAGGCATTTTTCCAGATGGGAAACAATGTTCTGAGTGAGTGTTTCGGCTTCCTGGGAAAGCACGTGTTCATTCCACGTGCGTACATTGCGCCCCAGGCGCGGGGCTGGTGTCAGAGCGCGCATGGGGCGCAGGCCTGGGGTGACCTGCACTCAGCACACACCTGCTGCAGAGTGTCCGCATTGCATTTTGGGTGTCACTTGGCGGATTCTTGAGAGCGGGTGTTTTGGAGCTGGGTTCCGAGCTCATTTGACGTGTGTCTGTGGGATGACAGCCACTTTTGATGTCAGACAAAGGAAAATGTGACCACAGCTCAGCATTTGCCTGAAGACCCGTGAGGCCTGGCAAAGCCAAGGGCGGGAGGGTTTTATATTGCCGCTTGTTTGATCTATCTGACTGCTGTTCCCTCAGTCTGCGCGAGCAGGAGTCGCATCAGCAAGTCTTCTTAAGGAGTCAGGGCTTCCTTTGTGCAAGTTGGTTTCGATGGTGGTCAGTACAAGTGGGAGGTGGTCCTTGCTACTGATACCCTTCGCTTGTGCGACAGTTTAATCAGTCAGCAGTGGCTGCCACAGGCACAGCGTCCCCTGGCTATGCTCTGTGGCCAGGAGACCAGCTAACTGAGCGCAGGCAGTACAGGGGCTCGGTCTCCTGCCTTCTGCATCCTTGTCCATGCTGCCCCTGCACTGGTCACGGGGTGGGGGTTTACAGACGGGCCAGGAGTCAGCAGCTCCTGGAAAAAACCTTGCTTTCAACTTGTAAAATTTTACAGCAAGTTTATGCTCTCCACATTTATTCTCTTCAAAATAATTGATAGGGAAGAAATATTCCAATTTTATCATCTAGATGTCAGTGATTCAATATTTTCTACTTTGGTTGGGTATGTGAACTTTTAGGAAATCCTCCCTCCCCTTTGAATGATTCTTCAAACATCTGGCTGTTTCCCAGATTAAGTAATTTTATGTTTTTCTTGATCCTTTCTCACCTGTTGACAGATGTCTCCAGTCTGTTATTGGCTTATGATTTTAATTATAACTTTGTGTGCTCTTCTGAGATGAAATGCTACATTTGACACACAAATCAGAAGAGTTTATGCATTTTATTTGTTCAAAATAATAGCCAGCACTTTTGAGGGCTTCTTATACGCCAGGTACCGTGTTCAAACCTCTGTATACAGTGTCCTCATAATGTTCCCCTGAAACCAGTACGAGGGTTATTTCCATGTTGCGGATGAGGAAGTCGAGGCTCTGAGCTGAGTAACTTGACCAAAGGCACACAGCTAGGCCACCCACGGGGCTGTCTTCCTGCATTCTTAATGGCCTCTCTGGAGCAGTTAGGGATCAGTAGTTAAAAACACACTTTGAAAGTATATCTGTGGAAACAATAAACATTTAAGAAGATTATAGTTATATCTAAGTGATACGTAAATATCAGCATTGTGAATTAGACTGAAGTTGGTCAATCTATCCTGGAATAAAACTAAAACAAATCTAAAACAAAACACTGCTCTAGGTTGTTTTAAAAAGATTTTTATTTATTTATTTTTAGAGAGGGGGTAAGGAGGGAAACATTGATATATGACAGAAACATCGATCGGTTGCCTCTCGCACACCCCCACCTGGGGACCTGGCGGACAACCCAGGCATGTGCCCTGACTAGGAATCGAACCTCGGGACAGCGCCCAACCCTCTGAGCCACACCAGTCAGGGCCCTCTAGATATTATGAGTCATTGAGATAGGTTCCTAAAGTTGACCCACAGCTGAGGTTGTGGTCTTTCTACTCCACCCTGCTCCCCCTGCCCTGGCCAGAGCGTGAAGGCAGGCTTTTAGATTTTCACAGATTGCTTCTCCTTCGAATCAAGGGAATTTGACCTGATGCAAACAGTTACCATTTATGTTCTACTACTTTCTGAATGTCTGGCTTTTCACTACTCTTGAGAGGGTATTATTTGGGAGAGAAAAAATTTAATGGATTAATGTTTAGAAGTATAACTTTTACTCATTGTTGTTTTGTGAAATTTTTTTTTAAATAGTCACACTGAGGAGAAGACTCAATGGGAACATCCGAAAACTGGAAAAAGAAAACGAATAGCAGGAGGTTTGTATTTTGTGGTCATAAAGCAAAACACCTTATACGTAAAACATTAATTAGATAAGATAAGTACACCAGCAGAGAGGTGGCAGGTCGCCGTGTCATCCTGGGGAGGACTTCTAATATATCAGGTGCCATCGAGGAGCCAGGCTGTCACTCTGAGGGGCTCGTGGGGTTTGGCAGAGGGTGGCGATGAGGCCTGGAGGTGGGGTAGTGAGGATGACTTCTTACAGGTCTTAAATAGAAAAATTATACAGATAATAGAGGCCTTTGACTCACGGTTCATTAGATTTTCCTGCAGCTGCACTGTGAGCTCGTTCTTGGTTCCTGTCGTGGAATTAACCACATCAGTGTCTGATGGGATTCCGTCAGGATCACCACGACTTACGGGTGCTTTTGAAGAAGTGAGTCACCTGCAGAATAGGAGTGTATGCAGGTCTAGTTCAAGGGACAGTATGTACCTGTGGGAAAAAATGGAACTGCTCCATAATATCGTGTAAGAGGCATCGCAAGTCAGCGTACACATGGTGTTGGTAAAGACACATTCTGTGAATTCATTCAAGGGAGAATTCATACTGATTGGAGCCACCATTGAGGTTTTCATCAGAAGCAGGAGCTGAAGCTGAGTGGAGAGTTTAAGAATGATGAAGAATGAAACAGTTTTATTTCTGAGCAAGAGACAGAACTGTGGCGGGCAGCTGGGATAATGGGCCCTTTGCAGCTGCCGCTGGGACACTTGTGTCAGCGGGGCAGAGCACTGGCTGTGGGTCTGCTGGGATGGGCTGCGGGGGGCGAGGCTGGAAGGGCGTGGCACCCTCTCCGACCTGCGGAACCCTGCTTCAGTCCACCCCACCCCTGCCTCCTGCAGACCTGTCGGTCCTTCTTGTCTTTCAGATTTGCCCTACGGATGGGAGCAAGAAACTGATGAGAACGGACAAGTGTATTTTGTCGAGTAAGTGTGCACATGGAAACTGCGCTCAGCCACTGTACTTTTTAGCATTTTCCATTAAAGAAGTGATATACAGTGACTGTATAAAACTATGACGTGTTGCATGACTGTAATCTTAATGGGAGTAATTACTTTTAAGAATTTTTGCATTTATTTATCAGTGTTTTACATATACATACTTTCTTAAAAAAAAGATGGGAATATACTGTGTGAACTGTTCAGTTGCCTATTTTTTTCCACAAAATGTCTTTGTGAGCATTTTCTCATATCCTTATATATTTTTCAAGAAGGCCTTTCATAGCTATAGAGTATTGTTTTGTAGAGGAAGTGGATATTGATATTAAATTTCTATTATTGGGCAGCTGTAATTATAAGCAATGTTTTCAGCATCCTTGTTTGTAAAACTCTTTTTAGAGTAAATTCCGGTAACAGTAGTAACCACCTGTCTAGCACATCGCGTGATGCAGACATGAGTCTAGTCGCCTTATACCTGTAGTATTAGCTCGTCCAGCCCCCACAGGGCCCCAAGGGAGGCAGGCCGTCCCTGGTCCCTGGCCAACCTGGCTGGTCATCCGCCTCCCTGAGCCTGCGGGCGTGGTGTGCGGGCAGATGCCTAAAGAAAGCTTCCACGGATTTGTTCCCACGGTGTAAGTGCTTTCACCACAGCCTATTTCAGGCTCCAAGGTGAAGTCGCCGAGGAGCCAGGAAGAAATGTGCACCCCGGGCTCTTGCAGCCAGGGCGAGCCGGCTCCTGCACAGCTCTGCTCTGCCGTCTGTGTGCAACTTCGGAGCAGAAATGCTTATCTGGCAGCTATGGCTATAATTAAAATGGAAGTTGGGTTATTCTCGGGCCTTAGTATTTATAGGATGATGAGTATAGATTTAAAACTATATATAATTTTACACACACATACACATTACAAATCGTGAAACCTCATCTCTTTCTTTCTGGAAGTTCTTAATAGTTTTTAAGATATTTTGAGGTCTTTATCTCAAATCCCAAGAATTTAAAATGTAGTAAGTACTGTTACATAAGGGTAACTAATTAATTCACGTGTCTCCATATATTTTAACATTGTTTCTACAAGATTCACGCTAACTCTAAATCAACGTGAGAGTGTTAGTAGGAGATATGAATTCAGTCTTCAAAAGAAGATCTTTAGAAATTCAGTGGTTGTCGGTTTTGTATTTACTGTTAACACTTACATTTTGAGTTTTCTACATTTCTTCCAGTCTTCATAGGTCCTTGCACAGGGCCAAGGGATTTAGTGGAAACCTACTGCATAGAGTGACTGACAGATCTTACAGCCACACTTACCGTGAATTTAAAAACACAAACAGACAAGCTCCTGTCTCCTTGGAGGTCTACGGGTACGCGGCACTGCTTGCTGTGTTACCGCGCAGTTCGTGGGCAGCCCCGAAGGAATGGAGGAGATGACTATCTTTCCAGGCAGAAATGTAATCCTTCTTGAGGCCAGAAGATAGTCTAATTGGGCTTCAAGTCTCTCCGGGCTTAAGTATAAGCCTTTTTAGCACGTGAAAAATGGGGTCTGCCTAGCCTAAACGATAACATTATCTTACATTTATAAATACCTCTGTTCACTGCTGTGGGTTCACTGCTTTCTCCTTTTCTTTGCAGCCACATAAATAAGAGAACTACCTACTTGGACCCAAGATTGGCATTTACTGTGGATGATAACCCTACAAAGCCAACCAACAGACAGAGATACGATGGTAGTACCACAGCCATGGAAATACTCCAGGGCCGGGATTTCACTGGCAAAGTAGTCATGGTTACTGGAGCTAATTCAGGAATAGGTAGGCCATTAACTTACAGTTATTATTATATTATTATTATTATTATTATTATTATTACTGATGAAATCTTATACAGCAATTCTCCAATGGAAAAATGTATTTATAGCCCTTTCGGCTATCATTTAATTAAAGTCCTGCTCTCTTAAAAATCCCAGTGTTGTCATGTAAGGCTGTGTAGGGCTGACCTTGAATTCTCTAAAAGCTGAACACTCAGCACAAGATCATGGCTATTTTGGTCTTTGAGGGTTAGAGACAGCAGTCTTCCATCTGAGAGGTTCCGACCTGGTCTGTGTGGGGCATGGACACAGGCCAGTTACTTAGGTTATTGAAGCCGAAATGGATTGGTAAGGGGATGTTGGGAATAACAAGGTATCATGATTTTGGAACAAAGGTTACTGCAGGTTTCAGTTGGCCACTGAGAATATCATTTTCCTTTGGGTGCAGGATCTTATTTCTTTTTATGTCGGAAAATTAGTCCTTGCCTTAACCTCTGAATTAACCCTCTTAATTGCTAGGGTCTGACCACGGCGACCGTCATGAGGCAGGGGGCTTCAGAGGGTGTTCATCCCTTAGCATCACGGGCTGCTAAAGAAGTGGCAGAGCAGACGCTTGCACAGTGACTCCCTGTAGGGTTTTACTCATCCTTTGTCGTGTCCACTTGCATCAGCATCTGCACCTGTGAGAACCAGCTGCTTGGAGTGAGGCCATGCCTCCTAATTTATAGAAACAAAAAATGGGGCTGTATTCAGCTGTCTTCTGGCACATCCTCTCTGCCCTTTGACCACTCCCAGCACCCCCCACCCCTGTGCCTCTCCCTGGTTGGCCTTCTCTTTCACACCCCTTTGCGCCCATCCTGCACTTTTTCCGTCCTGTCTTCGTTTTCAGTAACCCCTCGAACCTCCTTAGCATTCCCAGCATCAGCAGCCCCAGCAAAGGGGTGGGAGTGTGTGCAGAGGGTTGGTTAACTGTTGTGCAGGGTGCACAACCTGATGGGCTGCAGTCCCCGGGCAGGACTTCTGACTGCGCCTGTCCGTGAAGGCAAGGAAGCAACAATAGAGTTGTGTGTTGTTGGTTTTTTTTTTAATTGAAAGAGGTTTATTTCAAATCAAGTCTAAGACCTCAACTTGGGCTCAGAATATGTTCAGCCCACTTTTCCGAACTTGTTTTTGGGGTGAATTTTATATAGTCATCATTGATAATCAACCCTTATGACACTGCATTAAAAATAATGGCCAGATCCTCGGTCATCCAAGAAAAAATATGTTGTGTTCATGGCATCGGCTGCTGTTACATGAGGGTGTTGACCAATCAATACAGTGTAGAATAATTAAGAAAAAATAAGGTCTTAGGACTTAAATAAAATATCTCTTTTTATTTAACACTTAGTTAACCAGAAAATTGACTAAAACATTTCATTCCCTGAATCTTCTGGCTAGACTGTTTCCCTTTCACTGAGATACGTGCTATACTGCTGATTTTCTGGGTGAGTGTGTGCACTTCGCTCCATCTGGCGTTAGATAACAGACCTCAGGATGTGGCTATTGCTCCGTCAGGGACCTGCAGCATCAGGCGTAAGACACTGTAATCTTGGACTGACAGAGTTGGCTCAGATGAAGGGCTGTGTTGAGCTGGATATTTACTCATGATGGAGGAGGAAGAGGAGGAGGAGGAGGTGCTGAAGCATCGAGGATAAATGGGTTGTTGATCAGAACGGACCTCAACCCTCTTTGAGGAAAGCCCTACGTTCTGCGCCTCTTCACGGTTCCCCGCCCCCTGGAAGACTTTCCTTTCTGGATGTCCACAGTCCATTCTGTGGACACTGCAAGTGGGTATCTGTGGTCCAGACAGACATGGTGGCAAATTGTAACGCTCAGGATGAGAGATGTCGGGCAAGGTCTTAGGGAGGCCGGCGCTTTCTGTTCAGATACCCCCGCCATTCCCCAGCTCAGACCCCCCCCGCAGAAACTGTCCGAGGCACTGCCGCCTCGCCCCTTCCTCCTCTCCACCCTTGAGAAGCGTAAATCCAGGTGAGTGCTGACGATTTTTATCTCAATTTTTGAAGTAATACAGTGCTGAGCATCCCAGGCAATCAAATTGTGACAAATGACTCTGATCCTGCAGCAGTGGTGGTGGCAGGCTCACAGGAAAGGGACCGCAGACGGCATGTGGCTCTTTGTGGAAGCGGAGCCAGCTTGTGTGTCCCGCGTGGCTGCCTCAGAGAGTGTCCTCGCCCCTGCGGGCTGTCACTGCTAGATAAAGTTCCTCCTACTGCACTGTGAAATATGCCGATTTATAAATTGCTGTCGCCACTTTATTTTTGCCCATTTCAAATAAAATAGCCGAATGCAGAGTGAATTGGGCGTCTTCATTTTCAAGACTTGTGGGTGCTCAGGAGTCATTTTCCATCAGAGCCTCAGTGGTGGTGGTGCTCCCGGTCCTGCTGCTGCCGCTCCGGGAGACTGTTTCTGTGTCCCAGCCATCCGGCCGGAGCCTCCTGAGCGTCTGCTCTCGGGGGCGCCACGGCTGGGCCGAAACACACCAGCATGTGTTCATGTGTTTTCCCAGTGGGACTCTGTGACTGAGGACATAGGTGACCTAATTTTCTTCTCAAAGGGTGATCTACAAGTTTGGTGTTTCCAGTGACTTTTAAAACATTCCCCGCAAGGCTCTGCTTTGTCAGAATTGCTGTTGCTGAGGCATTCTCTCTCTCTCCCTCTCTCCCTCTCTCCCTCTCTCCCTCTCTCCCTCTCTCTCTCTCTCGGACAGGGGTGATCAGGTGGCAAGAGGGTCGCCTCTCCTCGAGGAACTTTGGCTTGTACTGGGACACTGCCACCTCTGAAGTGGCCTCAAAGCAGATTTTGTCTTGTCTTCACCCCCAGCTATAAGTGATGCAGATTACTATTTTGAATTTTTGATATTTGGTTTTACTGAGGCAATTGGAGGGACTCCTGGTTAATTCAACTCAAAAAGATCAGGGTGATCCTGGAAGACAGAAGAACTGAGGGACTGTCAGAGTGAAGCGCTATGAGTTTGTGAAATCTTTGCTTTTACACTTGGAGTTTGTAGCCAGGTGTGACTGTTGACTGGATTTAACTGTCTGGATTGGGGGTCAGCAAACTGTGGACACAGCCATGCCCCCTCACTTCCAGGTTTGTCTGTGGCTGTTTTCATGTTACTCACAGAGATTAGTAATCGTGGCAGAGACCATATGCCTGCAAAGCTTGAAATATTTACTGTCTGGCTCTTCCCAGAAAAAGTTTGCCAGGCCCTGCACTAGATAGATGATCTAATTCCTTCCAAAGGAAGATCACCCAACATTGTCTAAATCTGACACAGTATAGGTAAACTTTGGATAGACTGGATGCCCCCAGGCCACAGGAAGATTGTGTCAACACATCATACGTAATTGCTCAGGACATCCCTCCAGTATCCTGCACCCCTTGCCTTGACTCTGTTTCCCCCCTCCCCTATTTAGGGAGCTGCTAGCATTAGGATGTTTCCTCCTCAAAAACTAACACTCTTCTCTCCTTGACCTTTGTTTAACCAGCACTCTGAACCCGAAGACCTTTGTAGATTGAAAGCTGTAGCTTGTGGACCTCTGTGTGTGGAGATCAGCATCTCAGTATCCAGGGGGAAGTCATCTCTTCACCTAAAGCTTCTGCTAGACCAAGAGGCCTGGAAGCCCACAGTCCCGACTGCCACCCAGTAGAGGCAAGGGAGGAAGTCACTGCTGTCGGCGCTCACCGCAGCGCTGAGCAGCACGGGGCAGGTGTTTCACGGCTCCGGGGTTAGGGGCTGGGTGACTCCGACTTGGCACAGATGAATGGAAATGGCTTCAACATGGTGATCATTAAATACAGACCTGATTGCAGGGTCTCAGGGGAGAGGATTTTCTAGGCTGGGAAAGTTTTCATTGTGGAAGATCCTAGAGCTTCTTTTCTAGACACAGCCTGTCAGTCCCGCTAATTTGACTCTGCAAATAAATAGTTCAGTATAAAATGCCGCCCTCTTGGATCTGAGGGCTGACGTGTGCTCATCAAAAGCAGGGCCCTTCTCCTGAGGGGTTAAGTGGATGCCTAAGTGTGGGACAGCGCTGGCCCCGCTCACTGCTCCTCCTCAGCTGGGATATGGTGGGGGGGTGGGGGGTGGGGTCAGTGAGCAGATAGAGTTATCACAATCGAGTTCGAGGCACAAAATCCAGGTTTTGTCAGACATCCCTTTTAACACTATTAATTATGGGCAAATTAGATATTTTCAGCCCAGTGTTCATTGGTAATGATGATAAAACTCTCTCCTTAACTGCCAATCTCAAATCAGCAGTGTGAAAAATCTGATTTTTAAATCCCTCTCAGAGTTTAGTCAGGGTGAAGAGTTTCTTTCACCTTCTGAACCTTCATAACAGGCTGCATCAGACGGAATGACTTTAAATTTAAAATAGCCTGGGCTGGTTTTGGTTCTTGAGCCAGAGGATCCATTAACAAAAACAGAACTTTCCCTTGCCCCCCACCCCAAACAAATATAAGTTGGGCACTTTGGTGTACATACCAGTAACGCGTATTTTAGGACTGACACGTTTTCTATTTATGTTCTGTAATCACCTACCTAAGGTTTATTGCAGGGAATCTAATATGTGTGTGTGTGTGTATCTGCATACACACACACACACACACATATATATATATATACACATAATATGTTTATATACGTATATATGTATATATACACATACTCTTAATTATCAAAACTTATATATTTTGAGAGGTGAAACGTCCATACGCAAGCTAGCAAAGTCACCCCTGAGTTTGTTCAGTGAGGGTACCAGGCTTTCGTGCAGGAACGCCAAAATGGCATCACAGTACAGTGTCACAGTGGATTGTTCTGGCCTAGAGAACCCGTTTGTTAAAAGCTCAGGGTCTTGTTCCTAAACCACGTGCTGCACGTACAGCCTGAAGTGGGGCTGCCGTCATCTTTTATCCTGCAAACCATCACCATGATGAATT